TTTGACAGTTATATTTATTCTGACCTCACTATGCAGACTGTTGGTGGGGTATTTTTTGTTGTCTTACATTATTTCAAAAATCTGGGTTCTGTGTCAAAAGATACATTTTTTTCTTTAACATTGTGCTTAATGGAATTTTAAGTGCTTACGGAATTAACACATTTTCTAAAAATGTCGAGTTTAATAAAATGTTAAAAAATTCTCAAAATACGTCACTTTAACACACAAAAGAATACTATTTATGGTGCCTTGGACAATGACTAAGGCTCAACGATTTTACATAATAAATCAATTAATATTGTCGTGCAATTAATGACAAACTTTCTCAAAATATGAGTGGGCTTCTACCTTAAAATATTGGAAGGAATCCAAACAGTTAGACGGATAGAAATGAAGACAAACAGTCTTGACTATATACTGTTAAAATTTTGTAGAGTTGTGAATAGTGGGACATACTCAAAAAACGATTTCAAAATATAGATAACAGGTGCAAACATTCTCTCTTTTGAATGCTTAGCAAGATTTAGCAAGGCTGTACATAAATAATAAAAAAAGAAACATGGTGAAAATAACAAATGGCGAGATCTCCATATGCACTATATTTAACTTTTAACAAAACGATAATACATTTAAATTTTGAACTGTTACAGCCATTTTAATTATGAGCATTAGCAAACTTCTTACTGAGTGAATTGTTATGCAAATTAGCAATTATCTCAGCTTTTTTTAAGTGCACATCTCAGAACTTTACAAAAAATAGCTCCTAGACGCTTTGACCTTTTGTTTTGAAATTTTCACAAATGATTGACAATGTGTTTATCTTCAAAACGCCGTCGGGCATTGTTTTTGGTTCAACAGTATTACAACAATCGCACAGACAACTAGCCTGGGTGTTAATTTATGCATAAACTCGAAGTAGTGAAATTGTAGCTGCTGCCCTGCAAAATTGACAACTGGTAGACAGTTTTCAAGACGGAACTTTTTTCATAGTAAACAGATGTACCCATAAACCAATTTTGACAGGAAACAGAAGCATAGTTTAGGAGCTAATTTTTTTAAAATCACTTTTGACCAAAACAGCACATTTTTGTGCATATTTCAAACTACAGTGTCCATAAAAAAAATACTAACAACATTTTAAAATTCATACAATAAGCTCTCCGAAAATATATAGTTTTGGGGACAAGGGAGATCATCTTGTTTTCCTAATCAACTAATTAAAATACCTGTCAAGTAAACTGCATCTTTACCTTAATGGATACCAAAATGATATAAAAAACAAACAAATCTCACGAGACGAGACTTATATAATTGTTAACAGTGTTATAATATTGTATACATAACTATTGCTATTACGACCATCGATTGTGTCTGAATAACCTGTTAATTCACCAGCAGGTCGAGGTTTATTTTCAATAACATACGTGAAATTGAAACACATCCATGCGTGAGCTGACGATGCACAAACTCAGGAAGGTAGCGACTTCTCATTTCGTGGGTAGTACATGTATAGTCGTTGTTGGTCAGTCTGGGGCGCGATCTGTTTTTTACTGTGTAGAGAAACGATAGCACATTTTGTTGGGGGTCAGGGGTGGACACGATTAAATGGAAAATCTAACAGCACAACAGCTCTTAATATATTGTGGGTGAAATGAAATGTCAAATAAATTACAAATAGCACACACAGTGTCGGGTAATCCAAACAATGATTTATGCATTATGAATTTTGTTCAAAATACAAGATTTTCTATGCCAAACGCATGTTACCCGCGTATATTTAGTAACTGTCAGAATGATCTGAGCCTATCTTGCACAAGAAAATTTAGCATCTACCGCCAACCCACCCGGCCAACTCAATGCCCTAAATATATGACATATTGTTCACTGCAATACAAAGAGGCGTGAATTAGAATACGTGCAATTGTTTTAGCATCGTCATGGAAACAGGCGTGAGAATCTCTACAGTTACACAGTAATTACACGAACAAGATAATCGTACCCATCTAACATAATATAAATTTCAGAGGATTACTTGTTTTTTTTTTCAGTAACCCTGTTGAACCAACTCTCTCCAACGTAGTAACCAAGGGAAACCAATTATTTAAATTAGTTGCCCGGATGAAGCAACTCTTTATAACTGAACCATATGATTTAACCCATCTAACTTGGTAACACAGATAAGCCAACTGTCTTAACCCGGATGAACAAACTCCATCTTAGTAACCCGGTAGTAACGTGGCATTATTGATCGACGGCAGCTGATGTCTACTAGAGGTTTTCTACTCGAATGTTATCGGGAGAAGGGTGGGAAATGTGTTGTGTGATTGCATCGGCATGATAGAACACAAGCGAAACTCGTGCAAAATGTGTGAACAAATTTTCAAACGACACGCTATTGTACTTTCTGCTCGAAAACATTTATTGTGAAATTAAGCACTACAACTAATTTTCCAAACAAATTTAATACTTCGGCCATCTTCCCTCCAAGCTTCTCCAAGCTTACCCAATAAAACTGTCCAGAGGCACCCTAGTTGTAAGTTCACACAACACTCGAGCGTAACGTGGTAAACTAGCACCTCGAAGAGACCCGGGATACGTGAGGTGATCGTACTTCTGATGAGTAACCCTCTCTTTCTCGCTCGTTAAATGCATCTTGTAAGTCAAATTATATATAAAAGTTAAAGCGAGGGAGTCGGCACCTGCGCATGTATCAGATGATCATAGCGTGTCATTGTTTACAAACAAGGGACTATCCATGAGCCTTTGCGTCTTTGTTTATTTGATGTGAATGATGTGAATACATGAACGTGCGTTAAATTCCCCGATGTGCGTAAAACGTCTTTATTTATGTTCTCCGATTTGTTTTGATGAGATCAGACGATTCATTTTGTAAATTTCTAAATTCGATGCAGTTTGTTAACAAATGGCCAATTTGACTAATCTATTGCGTTCAGCATGCCTCACGATTATCTTTCGACTAATGGGTGTCGAATAATGTAAAGTTCTTTAAACAAAGAAATCAAGAGCCTTTGCGTCTTTAGCATGTGTTGTTGTCGTCGCTTGGGATTCAATTCTCGCGCGTGCGCAGGTGACGACCCTCCTGCTTTAACATTTTTAAATACAATATCCACAAAGTCTAACACAAGCTAGACATCATTAATCAGTATGGTGCCTAAATATTTCTAACTATTTTGAGTTTCAAAATTAAGGGAACGTTAACACGGTTAAACCTGCGCCTGTCGCCATCAGGCTGATATATAAAACCAACACCCATATTCTCAGAAAATGTTCTCTTGATTATTTTGGCTCTACTCACGACAAACAATGGTTTTCACACTGACTAATAAGAACAATACCTAAATTTAAGGAGCCTGGTATAAATTACGATTTAGAAGTTTAATGTGTTCATTTTATTGCCAAAGAAAAAAAAAGCTGAGAAATAAATCATTTCCGGGTAAAAAATAAAACACTTTATTGCCAATTCAGTAAAACCAAGAAAGCGTCAGGTCTCAACGCACACTCGGGTCGTAATCAATCTCTTTTACACATTTGCTTTGATTTACCTTGTAGTTTTATTTTTACACCTTTGTAAAACACACAGGTGGGAAAATAAAACATGAGATATTCTAGGCCAAAATGTTCATAACTGTGATCAGATAGCAGAAACCCGTCATCGTGTATATTCTCTGGAAACAATTGTCAGTATACGTATGCTGCAGTTCCGAATGTATTTGCACCCTGTGTTGGCAGATGATGCGATGTAATTTACGTACGCCTTGAACAGCCAAAGCACTTGTGCAATACATCGTATAATTTTGATGGGCGTATTGAAGCTATTGATGTGTTACCTGTTCAACCTTCAATACAAACTGTTGGATGTAATTTCCACCAATATAAATCAAAATATGTTGCAAATACAGTGTTATTTAAGTATGTGCACTATGAAACCGATTTTTTTTTCTGTCACCATATAAAAAAGCCTCTATCTAACACCTCAAATTATACAGAATAGCAGACTTTTCTATTTTTACTTGATGGTAGCGGCGAGTTTAATCGTAGTTTTAGGACTGCTGAATGTATAATGGTAACTGTGCACAAGCCCCATGTGTACATGGAATGTGTTTTGTATGACAGCGTAAAATCTCACCGATCCATGACGGCACGCAGCCATTAATTCGGTCTCGATCTATTATAATCTGAGCCGGTGATTCGTGGTTTCTGTACCACACCCAACATTATAGGTGTACAAGTCATTCCTTCTGAGGAATGCATTTCAATACCACCACGCATGCGCATTTAGATAATATATGATGATTTCATGTCAGATGCAAAAATTACTTTTCAATATTAATGATGTTGAAATTACATTTGTAAATTTCTATTTATTGTTGATCGCTCATAGAATTCTTATTATGTAGTTTCACAAGTGCTGTACAGTGTTTAACATGCAGACCATAATAAATACGTTGCAGTCGCAATATGAACTATCCGGCAATGAAAAACGGAAGTCAAGTTCAACGTGGATGATACCTATATAGATAAAAGATAAACCTTCCCGAAAATAAATTGTTGACAGCCAGATAATATTCAAAAGTAGTCTGTCTTGCGAGACGGTCAATTTTAAAGAGGAGTGGACGCCTAACACCGCCTCAGACAGTGTTCATCAACAAGTAATTGATTTCCCCTTGTCTTATCTGCGCTCTGATAAACTCAGAACGAGTGACCAAGGAATCACCGAAGCGTCGACCGACCTATTGAGCAGAAGGCATCAACTGTATCGCCTGGACCATAATATAGGTCACCAACGGGAACGAGTTGCTATGGTTTTCAGTAAACATAAACACACAGCTATCAGTTCTGTTATTTCTCATTGGTCACGTGGTCGTGCCACGTTATTGTAATGACGTAACCCCGTATTCGTACATAACCACTTCACACTAGCAAACATTTCACAGTCCTTGGGTGGGTCCAGATTAATAAGCACAATGTCTCGATTCGAGATGGCATCGACTGTGTATATGTGTGTTATACTTGCATGTACGATGTATACTGTTGATAGCGTCAGTAATTCGAGGGTAACACTAGTTAACAACGAATACCACGATATTGTCATCGCAATTGAAGAGAATGTTCCCGAAGACTTGGCGTTACTGGACAAGATTCAAGAAGTTTTCACCGACGCTTCAGCATTTCTTTGTGAAATAACCAGGTAATGTGTCACTTTTAATTTGTTCCCGACATTTCTGCTTTATACAAGAAAATGTTTATTAATTAAATATTGTTGATATTGTTAAACCAACCAACGATTACGCTGCAATGTCCATCGTATCTAAATAACGCAGATACATACAAATACGACACAGTTTACTGTTAATGGGGCATAACTGCGTTCTTTAATAAGCGAGAATCCCTATCAGAACTTTTCAGCATATGTACAAGAAGTTCGAGATTCGATTCTACGTCGAGGCTGTAGTTGCATCCAATGGAGCTGCTCATCGGAAACGCCTTTCCAAAATGATTTTTGAGGGCAGTGGTAAAATATTTCCTATAATCCATGACTTATAACGTAATATGCGTTTATGGTTTCTATTCGAGATTGGTCGGAAGCTGTAAGAAAATATGGAATTAATTGAGTAGAGAGGGGGGCAATTTCTGCATTTAAAATAAGAGAACACTATAACAACTCTGCGCAGAGGAAGCAATTCACAAAGAGCGCGTTATAAAAAGCTTTCAATTTCCCCTCTTTTGTCTAAATTTCACAGTCCAACTTTCTAGCCCTGTAAAATGTATTTCGTTCTGATTTTTTTTCTTCTAAAACATCACTAGTTGGTTGCGACTGAGATTTGACAAAGCATTTCTCCGCATTCGAGTATATCCTGCTTTGATAGCGGAGATTTTATTTACATTTTGTAACTTTGGATACAGCGTCATCTCTTCAATAGACTGAAGCTGTTTCTCACTCAATTTCCCCGGGTATTCTCACTGATATATATGTCTTTTTTAAAATTTCGATTTCCTTTGGCAATACAGTCAATAATAAAAAACGTAACGCGATAATTCCCTGCACGTGCGTTAAATTCCCCGATGTGTAAAACGTCTTTTTTATGTTTTCCGATTGGCTTTGATGATATCGAGCGATTAAATTTGTAAATTTCTAAATTCGATGTAGTTTGTTAACAAATAGTCTAAGAATAAATAAAAATAAATAAATAAATGTGACTAATCTATTGCGTCCAGCATGCCTCACGATTATCTTTCGACTAATGGGTGTCGAATAAACAAAGATATCACGTGTTTTGTCGTGATTTAAATCTAGGGGTCCCTGCGGCAAATCACAACATGCTGCGATTAAAGTATTTTTACATGTAGTGGCTGTTGGAATAAGAAAAAATAGCAGAAATGTTAAGCATCAAGACTTTTCTTGTCATTGTTAACTTTGGGGAGTTGTAATACCAATTCTAATTGCATAAGTCATAACTTGAATTAACAGTATGATAATGGGACTGTCATAGGGACTAACAAACAACTTGTTTCATGAAGCGAACACGGACTAGCAAAAATATAAAACAAAAACATTTATTTGGATGAATGTCTGTCATGTGATCATTTTCTGATAATGATCCCAATTAACACCAATTAACAGCCCATTTAGAGGGTAAATGCACTAACTATGAACAAGGTGTAACTATTATAACGGTCAATGTTTTATTATAGACAAAAGTCGATGAAACGGCCATTACGGAAGCATTATTCATGAACATTATTATATTTCACTTGTTATCCATTCCCCATTGAGTGGCAATCAGTTTAAATGCCGCATGATCCAAACCATGTCTATTTAGGATCGGAACTTGAAACCATAGCAACGGATATGGTAATAATTCCAGTTACGAATTGTTGTTGGAGATCGAGATAATAACATCGAAGCTGGGCAGGATCTATAGTTTTGAGAGAAATAAACATTATACATAATTATATTTGAAGTTTTAACAGATTCTTTGATTTACGATAACAATTATAGTCCTTGCGCTATTTCCGTATGAATGGATAATTAACATATACTATCCTACATACTTTGTTTATGAATCTTGAATTATGAATCTTGAATTATGAATCTTGAATTATGAATCTTGAATTATGAATCTTGAATTATGAATCTTGAAAGATATGGAATATTATGACCAATTGCCTCACAATGTGTCTACTATAGCACACTCTAATTTCAAAACAAATGAATCGATCAATTATATCTTGTTAGGTATATCAAAGCTGCTTAAAATAATGACAGGGAAAACTGAGTAATATATTGTTTGAGATTATGTCGTTCTCGACCAAATATGGTAATATATATATTTATTTCACAAAACAAAGTGACGACTGTGGCTGTTACTTGCTTGCACGTCATATAGCACGACTATGAGGTGCGATTCACGACTTATACTTCGAAGATGCGAAATACACACACTTCGTTTCATTACTGTTATTGAAATATTCAGTGCGTCGTCGTGCGTATAACGTGACGGTGAATGTTTTTCAAACTTTTATTTGTAAACCTATAGATAGATAGAGTAGGGGTTGTATGTACTCGCTTCCAATATTAGATTCAGTTTTCGAGCACAGCTTGTCCATCTTTCTCAATAGTTGATGAAAAACTTGCGTTCATCTCTAAAATTTCAAATCTTGACACTTATCAGGCACCAAACCCACAAACCCTGTGGTTGTTTACTACATACACGGCAAAGACAATGGTCACATGACCAACAGTTATTTCTTTTCATGTTTGTATTTACAATTATAACGCTCACTCCACCCATGTTGGAATGAAATGGTAAGTCGGGACTAGAAAGAAATTACAGGAGATGGGTTCGTGTTTTGGGAGGAGCGACAGCATTGTTCATGCAAGCAAATTGAGGGGGGTCATTAAATTTAGTTTTACCATTTTTTCATGGAAAGTTTTTAAGCATTAAGTTATTACGGTACATATTCTTATACTTGTTCCTAAGTCTTTCGCACATGAAAAAATATACAGACTAAAACGTAATGTTTACTATCCAAATTGACGTATATTATGAAGAAGACTCCATTCGAACAATTTACGGAAACTTGAATCTAGATCTACTCTAAAATCTGATCCGTTAGTATATCCCACATAACCAATTTTATGAAAATACACATAAACAAACTCGTGAATTTTAGCATGAACGCCTATAGCATTGGCACTATTTCTGGCAATAAATCTGTCTACAATGATTTTTTTTTTCATTTTAGTATTTAGCAGCATGTACTATGTACATATCTATATTTCATCAATTTTCACCAGAATTTTGAGATATATCGTTGTTATGGGAAATAATGGTAAAATTCTCTAAAACAGACAAAACGTTTTGCACTTTGGTCGATTTTTTCCAACTGAGTACGATGACTTCGTATTTTTATTTCATTTGTTTCATCCGTGTGACTTGATATATTATGTAATATGTAAAAATAAAAAAAAAGACAACCATTTTTTACGTTTATGGATATTCCGGATTTAACACGAAAAAACAAAATTCAATAAATAACATCGAGTTCCAGACAGCTCCATCAATGGGCGGTGTCTTTCGGGTCGACTGTTAGTAATTGTTAGCTTTTGTGGTTTCTTCTTAGCGTAATAAAACCTAGTGTTACATTTGGATGTCATGTGATCTCGTACGAAAGGTTGGAACAATTTATGAAAACAAATAGATTCGACTCGAAAACATTGGAACATTCTAGTTGGTCAAAAGGCACGTGGTGGACATTAAGTCATTGATATATCATATAAACTATTTAAAATAAAATAAATTTATTGATTTGACTTTTTTTCTTTTCTTCTTCGAGGTATCACTCCAACTTCCAAAATTAACTATAATTGCCATTACCATATTATGTGCAAACTAGATACTAAAAATAATGACCACTCTATAACTATTACTGACCACTCTAAGACCAGATAAAAACATATTTATTTTTATAGCAGTTTTGATAAAATGTATTGCCTTCCTAAATTACCTGAACATTTTGGGTCAAACAGGAAAAAAATACAAAATCAAAATTTAAATTTACTGACTCTTTTATCCAGAATTACGATGGTGATCATTACAGCGGCGCCGTAATAAACTGATCATAAACAACTCTGTCTTCTATCTACATTGTATTACCCCTTGGACATTTTTAGCGATGTTTGTTTGTTATGACTTTACCATTCACCGTTTGAAATTGATGTGTCGAAAGTCGCACTATATTGAAATTGGAAATGAAATTTTCACTGTAAACAATTGTAGAACGCTCTTACGATTACATTTTTTTTGATTTACTATGTCATATGTTTCTTTGATCCACATCTTATTTTCAATCTGGATTTCTGAACCTATATATCGCATTTGAAAATGATTTTCTCCACTTTCTGTTTTGAATTTGATCAGGTTCTTTGCGCTCCAGTTAGACGTTGTCACATTAGTTACTTGAACTTTATATCGACTAGATAACATAGCAGAAAACATTGTCCTCGAAATTACTGCAACGTGATTCAGATATCGGAAAACAGCACTATTCCACAGTAGTAACTTTAATATGAACAGTTTAAATAATATTTTATGATGTTCAGCCATATTTATAGCCATAATTTAATTTTCATCCTAATATAACATGCAAGGCACGAGAGTAAAAATTAAAAAAATGTCAATTTTATGACCATGCATTCATCATGAAAATGAATGTGTCCACGTGTGTCGGCTTGTTGATTGGAATATCCAAGTAAGAGAAAACAAACACTGCTAAGAATGACCACGGGAAAGTTATAGAGGGAGAGGGCGGTTTTCTTGTTCAGTTTATTTGGGCGCCAGTTGTAAATAGGAGTTGTGTTAACTACATGCTAACGCAAAGTAGATAGTGTCAAATGAAAGGAAACAAAATGAAAGTCCGACCATGGTCCGAAGTACTAGTACCCAACCTGTTTTTGAAGTATATGTTTCGATAATTCAATTCAATTTCTTGCCGTATCCTTTGACGTATTAATACTCTAGACACAATCATTGTTACTATCTTCACCAGTGCTTTCCAATAGTTATGATGTAACATCGTAGTTCTTTACTTGGCCTAGTTATGTAAATCTACTATGGAATGTTTACCCGCAACAAAGTTTTTCACATAAACAGTCTCAATCTCACCGTCTGTAGCTACTATTACACTTTAATGCAAGACACAAGCCAATTGTTACAGCTTCGTCGGTAACACCGCGACAAAGCCGTGGTAACATACGCGTACATTTAGTATTTGATATCTCGCAAATGCAACAATGCGTGCCTCCCTTCCATTGCAGCAAACCAATCAATCTTCTCTTGTGCCGTCCTTTGATTTGTCGATGTATTATATCTTGGAGTGTAGAATGCGAGAATTGTCAGCAACGAATCGTTTTGCACCCTCTTGCGAACAGCTTCACAATTTATTCCCAGTAATAAAGTTAACGAAGACCTTTCTTATAAATTCCGTCCTCCGGTGAAATAAGCGCTTTCAGGCGTAAATGGACGACAAAAAGGCTGCTCAAAGCGTCGATGTCGTTTTGATCTGTGATGGCCCATCAATGATGATTATGTTTTTGAGAGATTTTTCTCCATTCTAATTAATGAAAGACCAAATGCGTAAACTCATTGGTAGTTTTGAACGACATTAGCTGTACGTTCCATGTTGCTAAGGTGCGAAAAAATGTACCCGAAATTCGCACAGTTCGATAACCGTTACTTATCATTGCGTAAAGCGCAAAGATCTATGGGAAGGATATTGCACTGTACCATGTATTTCTATGGGCTCTGCGTGAGCTGCTGTGGAACGCAGGTCAAAAAGCCGGTAAACACAGCTACAGTCGAGGAAACAGCACAAACACTGTTTAGTAGAGTCTCAACAACTATCGCAAAGTACGTATTTCTGGGAGTTTTCGACCTTTGTTTTCACCGTGATGGTTGCCAGGCGATGAAAATGCCGGGATGTCCACCCCGAGGATACGTCATTTTGACATCACAACAGCGTTCTGTCGCTGGAGGGCACACAGAGGGTAAGAATAAAAGTCATCTATATGACCTATGTTTTACATAAACATATGTTTTCTCATTCTCAACAGATACCGTGCATACTTCAAGAACATAACCATCCTTGTACCGAAGTTTTGGTCTGATAACGTCCAGTATGAAATGCCAAGCTTTGAATCGTATTACACCAGTGATATCAGGATTGACAACAGTGACTACGATGGACCTTATGTGTGGAAATCAACACCGTGTGGAGAACTGGGCGAGTATATGCATCTCACTGCAGACTATCTCACGGATTCAACTATTGGTGACAATTATGGTGATTACGACAAGGTACGTATTCCATACAATTAATGGTATATTGTTGTGGGTGTCGCTCACTACATACTAAATGCTGTGTACTATATGATGCGTACTACATGTATGTATTGAATAATGTTTGGGAAATGTTTTGAGTTGTGTATAATGCATGAGTTGGAAAATGATCTGGTGACAAAAAAAAAACAAAAAAAAAAAAAAAAAAAAAACAAACAGAAAACAAGCAAGTATTGTCTAATGTTTGTATTCACAAATCCTGTGACTACTTCTACCCTAGCCTAACATTGTTGCGTAAGTTGCGCCCCTCGTGGTACTCCAAAAACTACACACAGTGAGGTCTGATGCAGTTCGGCCGGCGAGGGCACCACTCTCGCCTGTCAGGCTACTTCTACCCAAAACAGTTTCGATTGATCTCTATCTCTGAATATTTTACAAAAGACAGAAACTATCAGTATGTAACTACCAGTATTAAAATGATATGGCAATGTTGCATAATAACATAGTTTGACAATATTTTTTTTATCTATGGAGGGTTTGTTTCTACTTTTAAACACCATCTTGGAACGTGAGATAGCTTTGCGAGACAGCTGGCTGGAGATGTTAATGCCAATACATCTCTTAATAAATATCATTCGTTTGATTGCTGATTTCAGGTAATAGTACACGAATGGGGTCATTTACGATATGGTGTATATGATGAATACCCTGGCGGCAATACTGGCGCTCCTTATTTCTATGCAAATTCTAACGGTGACATAGAAGCCACTAGGTGTTCTACTGCAGTCACAGGTATAATAATAAACTAAACTTTTTGTTCAATAACATACACAACAATAGTGTATAGCAGAATAAAACGACTTATTTGAAGTCGTGTCTTCCGAAAATCGTGTAAATATACCTACTGGGAGTCTCAACACACTCGCATCTTCAATACGACACATATTCCCAGCTATGAATTCACAGATATAGAAATTGATGAAAATACCGGGCTCAAACAGACAGTAACCGAAATGGTGAAAATTGCTGCCAATGTTATCCAGTTGTTTCAAGCCAGTGCAATGCATGCAACGTATTGATCTGAAATCTACTTATATATGACAATGTATAATCCTAAAATAAATAGTATAGCGGTGGTATAATTCAACAAACGAGATTAAATATAATAAATACGGTAGCTCATTTGTTTAGAGTTATGAAGAGTTGAAATACTGTAACCGAACACGATGTACTTTGTTATTAGTATTATTTATGGTGCAACGATTGCAGTAAAATATTCTGGGCTGACAAATGAATAAACAAGCTACGCGGCTATATCGTAAAAACAAATTATATGAAAGATATTTGATTTTAAAGAACCAAATGAAGTAACCCCCAAAATATATAGGAAAACATGGAGCCCAGTAGTTGACCACAGGGAACTAAATTCCGAGCATTATAAATATTATAAACTTTGTCCAGATCATGACAATATACACCAAGAAATGTTCTTCGCTCGTTAACGTTAGCTGCATTGAAAGATGAAAAGTCAGAAGTTATGAGTTACATAGCTAGACTAACTAGTATGCTGTTATCATAATAACTCTCCCTGACATTGTCACGGTTAAATATATTACATCAAAGCGGCAAAATATTTGGTTTGGTTTGGTTTCGGAGAAACGCATGTTATTTGGAGAATAGCCATATAGAATAATTTTCTATGGTACAGACGGTAATCTGCTCTGTGGCACGATACACAGGAATATCACAGATCTCTAATCAAGTTCCTTTGAAGCATATGCACAAACCTACAAATAACAAACAAACAAACAAACAAACAAATGCAAATTACCTATACCCATGAACACCATGGTTACCAAAATTAGATAATTCATTTCCGAACTTGCTGAACACAATTTGAAAGCGAGAAACTGTAGTTTTTTCAACGAGATCTCGAGTTTGATTTGCTACATGTCATCCTAACGTTTTAAAGACACGAAATGCGGTCATCATAAATACACAGCAGTCATTTTATTAACTCAGTCTTGAAGATTAACCAGAAACTAATTTATGTATCAATTCCGTAAATGTGAAGATCTGGGAAGTATGGAACATTTTCAACGTCAAGCCGAAAGTTGCATTTAATAGTGATTCATTTGGACGATTACCTCTCTAACTATTTGAGCGAAAAAATCAACTTTTGCCAACAAAACAAGACCAACTAACTAACTAATAAATATTTATGTTCATTTGTTTTAAAATTAAAAAAAAAGATAAATTGCTATTAATTTGGAGGATAAAATGATGGCACCATATAAATTGTAGCACCATGGATAATCTGTTATTATAATGTCTGATAACACTATAACTCATTTCACTTACATTTAAAGGTGACATGGTAAACCTGAATACCGGTCAACCATGTGCTTTCGTTAACAATTACCCGGAAGACGATTGCTATTTTTACGATGATAGAAACGTTGCAACATTCACAGGCTCTCTTATGTATCGTCAATACCTACCACAGGTAAGTGTAATACATATTATTGTTTTATTTGTCTGTCTATTTATTTATGTGATTATTTCAATTATTAGTGGTGTTCTCACTAAACGAAATAAGCCGTTGTCATAACGCCTTTTATTTGAGAACGTTATGTGAACAGAATACGCCGTTGTGGCGTCGGCGTTTTTGACACCGTCGTAAAAGGGGTGGACCAGATCCTAAACGTCTTTGTCACACCGGCTCTTGCACAACGCAATGTGCCGTGTGAACACAGTACGGCGGCCAAACGCCCTCTGTCGCCGACTTATTTATGCTTTTCATTATACAAGAATATCGAAATTACTGATTACTGATATCTGTATGGAGAGAATAGAATATTCAAAGAATTATGGACGGAACGTCTAGGGATGCTAGAGTATATGCTGTGATTGCAGAAAAGGCGGCTGAGAAGGGGTCGGACAGGACAATATCAACGGAAGATCAAAACTTTACGTATAAAGTACAGAGAAGTGACTGAGCACAACAACAGAAGCGGTAGAGATCCGAAAACTATGCCATTTTGGGATGAACTACACAAAATATTAGATGGAAGGCCAGCATTCAATCCTCAAACACCGGTGTTTTTACTAAGTGAGAAGGCGAGCAGACAATTCAGCAGATTATCTAATACAGTATTTGCACAACAAAAAACAGTGTTAACACCGGCGTTTTTTAGACGTAGCTATTTGTGTTTTTTGGTAATTGCATTCAATATGAATTTGGTGAGAGGAGCTAAACAATTTGTAACATGTGACGAATAAATTTATTTCTAAATCATATTAATTAATTACTTTTGCACTGAAATTTAGAGCTTATAATATTAGTCCCTAAGGTGAAATGAACACGACATTTATGCGCCATAAACACCACGACCATTTCCTCAGTTAAATGTAAACGTTTCTCTCCAGTTTTCTCCAGCTGTCATACTTTCACATTTCTTCATGTTTTTTTGTTCGTTTCAGCTTATCCACTTTTGTGACAACGACACATTCGCTGATACACCAGGAAGTATCCACAACATTGAATCTCCGAGTAAACATAATATACTATGTGACGAGAAAAGCGTATGGGAGGCAAGTTTGTCGTTTTATAAGATAAATTCTAATTTTAAAAACAAATGAATTTCGAGCACCAACCATCACACTACAACCAGCATCGATACCGCCATTCAACCATGATCACACCACTTCTTCTACTACTACCCTCGCCATCTCTGCTACAATTACCATGACAGCCACAGTCATCGCTGACACTACTACCAACTTCCTCACTGCTACTACCACTGTCATCGATCACTACTACTGTTACCACGACAACCACAACCAGAACCGCTATTACTACCTCCACCACTACATCTAATATAACCAACTCGACCACCACAACTACTACTTCCGTCACCACATTCACAAGTGCCATCATTGCCATCATACGTAACAACCACTCAAACAACAACAAAAAACTACCACTACTACCACCACTGCTTTTGCCAGCTTTTGCCACCACTGCAGACCCAACTATTCCCACCACCACCACTAACAACATTCGCTTCTACCAACACCGCCACTGCTACCAATGCCACAAACATGTACAGGTATACTAAACAAAAAACATGATATGTGTCACCGAACCGCATCCCCAATGAAAGCATTGCAATTATTTGCGATCGACACTTACATTAAGCGCTTTTAAAAATTTTAAAAATATTACACCTCCCCCATAGATAATGCGAGAACACGTAGACTTTGCTGACGGCGCTAACCCACCAGGAGCTGGATGTGATGCGACATTGACTGTTCCAGAGTTCCGTATTGTCAAACAACAGAGTACAAGAAACACATTGGTACTGGACGTCTCTGGGAGTATGAGTGGTGATCGAATCGTCATTTTAAGACAAGTATGTAATACCATACTGAATTGATTTGATGAATAATATTTAGTTTGTATAACAATTTAAGTTTTTCATGATCGAATAGGTTATTTTCCGTTAAACTGCGAGATCTCGCGTGTTGCGTGAAAGACGTGCACCGAGCGTCTGCCGCAGAAATCGAACGATTTGATTTTGAACTCGAATTTCTTTATTTCGTAGCTCGCATCGAAAGGCCGATCCTTGACACGGAAATGTTGCATTTGAATACCCTTATTTCATCGAAATTGACCATCATCAAATGTGTACAGCATATTATTAAGCGTGGGAATATCCCCCATAATACTTTCGCATTTGTAGAATCCCACGCGATGTTTGTCGCCACTATGACGCTATGACCTTTTTTGTCATGTTTTTACGTTCGATTTCACGCATAACGCGGGATCTCGCAGTAAACGGAAAATGATCTACTGCGCTTCACGACGCTTGCCATATACACATTAATCCATTTCGTCACGGTCTCTTCCCAGGCCTGCAATTTGTACATATCAAGTTGGGTAAGCGATGGAAGTGAACTCGGAATGGTTAAATTCAATAGTCTTGCAGAAATCTTATCAACATTGGTGACTATTGATGCTGGCACACGAGCTGATTTATTGACAGAAATACCGGCAACTGTGGGTGGTTCCACAAGCATTGGCGCAGGTCAGTGCGTGGCATCCCGATATATAGATGCTTGATTGCTATATATTTATCCAATTAATAGTTGTGTCTACTGATTGTGTATAAAAAAAAAAGAAAAAAAATGATGTACATTTAAGAATTAAGTAATCTAGAATTGTTAGGGTAATATTTTTGTAATTTTTTAGCAGAATATTTTGTTGTGTGTTTAATAATTAAATAAACTGGCCATTATAGGGCTGCAAAAAGGAATTCAAGTTTTACAAGAAGGCGACAATAGTACAACTGGCGGGTGTCTAGTGCTTATTACCGATGGCGAAGAGAATACATCTCCAATGATTTCAGATGTTCTGCCAAATGTGAGTAACACAGGAGCTCAATACATCCAGTCTTTTTTATAAATTGCGCCCTCTTGTGGCAATGCACTTCTATAACATCAATGGTTTTCTGGGACTGAATATGTCGGAACGTTGTTTTTCAGGACTGCGAAGAGTAATTGTCGCCCCCGTGTGCAACATTAACGTGTAAGATTGGGTCCATAATATTTAAATTATCGGGAATGTTCGGTATTATTCAGTTCTCTATATAAATTATTTAAACAAACTAAATCCAAAATAATTTTGGTCAAGTGAATGAAAATCTATAAAGACGTTTCTACTACACGTGAGCGATGCGAAACGACTACTCGGCGTAGATCACAAATGACGTTTACAATAAGTGTAAATGAATATTATGATGATTGTTTCCCGATAAGTTCAATAGTGCAGATGTTTGCATAAGTTTTCATTTCAAAACTGTCACCACGTGATGTCAGCCAGACACGGGGCCTGACAAGTTTGCACTTACAGCTTTCGATAACAAAAAAAAACAAAAAAACAGTTTGTGTCTCCCATCATGATCATGGTCAACATATTCTAAATACTGAACAGTTGTTTTATAGGAGAAACATTTCAAAAAGTGCTGATAACTGATAATACTGATAACATGATATTACGAAAATCATAATTGCGTGTGACAAACAGGTATCTGCATCCAAAATAAATTTTGCGAAGTGTTTGTGAGTAAAACTTATCAAATATTGAATTTCGCAATCAAGCACTTTGAGGTATGTACAGTGATTATAAAATACAATAAACAAATCAGTCAATCAAGTAAATATGTATTACTAAATATAAACATCAACAAGGTAAGTTTATGTGTTAGTGTTAAAATGTTGTAAAAAGACATATATAGTTTTTGTGAAGAATAATAACTGTCACATAAAGAAGTATTTTTAAACTTATTAAGTCCCTAACTTGTGCGCAACTGAATAAGTGTGCCAACTTGTTTACTAAAGTTCAAACTCTTCAAGTAACTGTAAAAAACAATACTCAATAATTGAGAACGTGGACACTTCAAAATGGATGAGTACTAAACTGAAAAAAAAAAACAATAACTTTTTTCGTCTTTAATATAAATGAACAATATTGGTAAGAAATCATCTCATTTGCTCTGACCATACATTCATATTCCCCTTCAATCTAAAAACTATAATGTTATAAAAAAACACAATGTTTAATTTATTATCATTATTGTTTCGAGAAAAGCTACGTTTGAACGAAAATGTGCCTCTGCACCAGTAAGACAAATCGAACTGCATTGTTCTGTTAAAATCTGTCTAACGTTTGTACAATCTTATTTGTCTCCTGATATCATGTCTCTGAGGGTATCAGCAAAGAATTTATACTTTATAGGATTCTCTGGTCCTGTAAATATATGATTTTGAGTTAAATCTGTAATCGTACCAAGCCACACATAATGACAATGCAGTACGTAGCTGCCGACACTGGTTATAACAATTACATTTCCCATACATTTCGTAAAATAGTATTCATCATGCCTACAAGCTTATTTACGATAACTTACGACTTCCTTCTTGCATCAGAAAATCTAATAGGCATTCTGAACAAGTTGCTCTTGTTTCTTTAACGGACATGCCAACTCCTCCACATGCTCCCGATAGTATATTCCAATCGTTGAATGAGCATGCGCACTATACAAATTACTTGAACACGTAACATATACTAGTGTTCATCGTGAACACCGTCGTTTACTAAAGTATCTCACAAAAGAAGCAGCAACCCCAGGCTAAATTATTTTTCAATATCAGTTTTCATATAGTATTATAGTATTCATGACATTTCTAAATAACTCGTTTGCATTATACGCAAATTCGCACAGGTATGTGACAATTACTATATTCATCCTTCAACTTCCGCCAATAGAACAATAGTTATGCAGGAAACGTTATTCGTTTACGTACAGTCTTGTAAAAACGACGTAATAACTTTTAAATAATACTATGTGTGTTCATCATAACGCAAATCGCAATATATATACTTTTCATTTCAGCTCATATCAAAAGGTATATGTGTAGATGTGATAGCCGTCACTCAGGCTGCAGCTGATTCCCTGGAGCCTTTAACAACGGCAACGGGAGGAAGGATTTATTTAGCTTCTTTAAGTAACTCGTCTAACGCATTGGCTGAAGCTTTAGCAGCCATCGCTACAAGGGGGCAAAGTGAGTCACCGGAAATTACGTGATTGTATAGTTAAATCATATAACTTAATTGTAGTTACACCACAAAACTTTATTGTCGTTTAAGTTACATTATATTACTTTATAATAGTTACATTAATTTACTTTAATATAGTTACATTAAATTACTTCATTAAAGTTATCTTGTATTACTTCATTACAGTTACATAATATTACTTTCTTATAATTACATCATGTTACTTCGTTATATAATTATGTCGTATTACTTAGTTACAGTCGGAAACTGAACAACATATCGATAGCTTTAACAAGCCCCGGAAGATAAAGTCCTTCAGGTGTCGATTTCGATGTCTTAATAATAATTCGGTGATGTCAATGTTAAAATACATAAACATGGAGCCATGTGCTACAAGCACTTACCAATGAGTTATATGTATATGTCCAATTTTGTTTACTCAATGGGCGATTGTAACCCGCAATTCCGGTCACGGGTTTCGCAAAACATACACAATGTTTGTGCTTTGGCTAATTTCTGTGGCGCATGCATGGGAATTACGGGGATTCCAGGTGATTGACAATGGTTATCCTCCTTATGATGTCATTGTTAGTCAGCCAATCAAATTTAACCACAATTTCTCATCCTTTCTATCGTACCTAGGCTTTAGTCACGTGGTGATCAGAACTAGTACATTATATATTCATAACCGTGTAACGAGTAATCCGCTATCAACGGTAAACTTGTGTTGGATTATGTACCCCAGACCATTCGTCCCGGTGTTATCGCTATCGCCACACGAGACTCCAGCTTGTCTCCTATACAATTTGACTGCGCACATCCAGAAAGTAGATGTAGCTGTGATTGGTGGAATACTAATGAGTTGAGTGTCAATCAAACGCCCACGCTATCTTTAGTAAACAAAGTCACGTGACACGCGCCATTTTAGTTTTGGCAGGTGATTTCAAGGCAGCACGCTTAACCCTTTCGTTCACAGGTTGGGAGATATTAGAATGACTGACAATTTCACGCCACTGTTTTACATTATTGGCGGATTTTTCTGCGCTATCAATCTTTCTCTTACAAACTAGACATAGATGAGACGACAGAGTCGCTCCTTTCACAACGTCGCA